TAGGCATGGCCTGTACATCCCCCTCCTTTTGCCACCCCTCCTGCCAGCCCTCCCCGGACCCTAGTCACGCTGAGTGATCGGAATTTCAGGGAGGTTACTCAGTGTTTTCTGGGGTGCTTTCAGCCATCAACTCCTAGTTACCCCTTTCCTGACTGAGACAAGCAGGAGTTGATACACATCTGGATATCCAGGTCTATATGAACAAAGGGTGAGTTGGAACTGCTCAACAAAGCCTATGGGGTCCTTTCTGGGGCTTGGATACTCCTTGGCAATAGCCTAGAGTTCTCCTCAATGCCAGGGTTTAAAACCATAGGTCCTGATCAAGCCACTACCTTCAGGGTTTTTTCTTGGGAGAACTTTGGCTTGCACTTTGAAAGGAAACATAGAAACTGGGGAGCTGGTGGGGTCTTGGTAAAGGTGGGTATATTTTAGGTAGGTGGGTAGTTTTGGGGTTGTTAAGGAGAAGGTTTTCAAATGATTTAATTCTTTCTTTCATTGATTCTAATTCAGACCTATGCTCTCTTTCCTTTGCCTCTGAGTACCATTTGTTCTGTCTGTCCCATTCAAGAGGCTGAGTTTCCTTATTCCTTATTATGCAAATAAACCCAAGTAAAGTTATCAGTATTGTGTAAATTATCAATAAATATCACAGGAAGAGATAGGAAATTAATTCCATTTCAACTAATTGCAGGTAGTATAAAATAACTGTAAGGCTACCTGCCAAAATATAGACAGGAATGGAATGAATACAGTGCACTTTTTATACAAATAAAAGCAGATCTAGATAACTGGAGAAATATGAATTGCTCATTTATAGGCCAAGTCCGAACAATAAAAATGATAATATTACCTAAATTATTAACAGTGCAATACCAATGAAAATACCAAAGGATTTCTTGAGAAAGTTAAAAAAAAAAACCAAAATTCATCGGAAACAACAAAAATGAAGACTATCAAGGGAATTAATGGAAAAGGTAGAAAGGAAAGGGGCCTGGCAGTACCAGATCATAAAACCACATTACAAAGCCGGTAACATTAAAGGATATGCCACTGGGTAAAGAAATAGAGAGGTTTATTATTGGAATAGATTAGGTTCACAACACACAGAAGTACAAGAGCACAATATCTGCTTGTTGGAGAAACTAATGCACCTCACTATTGGAGAACTTGCTATTCAATAAAAGTTGTTGGGAAAACTGGAAAGTAGTCTGGCAGAACTTAGGGTTAGAACATTTCACAGAAAAGACAGGGTCAAGCTCCAAATGGATATATTCCTTAGACTTAAAGTTTAACATCATAAATGGGAGTGTGTCAGAAATTACCTGTCAGTTCTATGGATAGGGGAAGAGGTCATGACCAAGCAAAAGACAGACAGGTTCAAGAGAGACAGTTTGGATTACAAAAACCAAAAAGTTTTTCTATAAACAAAATCAATACAGCTACAACTGGGAGAGAAGTGAGAAGTTGGCAAAAAAAATCTTTACAGCAAGTTTTTTCTGATAAAGGTCTCATTTCTAAGATGTACAGGAAACTGTTTCAAATTTATAAGATTAAGAGTCAGAACAACTGATATATGATCAAAGGATAGGGACAAGCAGTTTTCAGAGGAAAAAGTTAATACTATTAATAAATATTTGAAAAGATTCTAAATCACTATAAATTAGAGAAAAAGAAATTTAAAGAACTCTGAGGTAATATCTCACTCCCATTGGATTAGCTAAGTTGAAAAAAAAAGAAAAATTACCATGCTGGAGGGAACGTAGTAAAACAGGTACTTTTAGGCACTATCAGCAGAACTGTGGTCTAGCCATTCTGGAAATACAATATGGAACTATTAAACTAGAAAACTACTAAACTATGCCTACTCTCCGAAGTTGTGAAAAAAAATCTTGGCAGCAAGTTTCTCTAATAAATGTCTCATTTCTATGACATATAGTCAACTGATTCAAATTTATAAGAATAAGTGTCATACACATGATAGATGAGGACCTGATATTTTCTCTAATCCCCTCATTGCTCCAAAAGAGAAATTATGCAGCAAAAAAAAAAAAAGAAATTTCCACTGTCTCCATGATACAACACCTGGAATCCAAAAGAAATTTAAAAATTCAAAACCAAAAACAAATCAACTGACTTCTAGACTGAGCTCACTCAGTACCTCTCTGGCCACTCCAAACTGGCTACATGAGCTGACCAGGCTGTGTACATCTACTCTGGCCAGCATAAATAGGCAGCATGCATTTCTGTAGTGTTCTAGACTATGGAAGCTTGGTGGGAAGCATTCTGTGCTGCAAAAGATTTCTGCAAGAGAGTCAGGAACAGAAGGAAGGGGAAAAGATTCATGTCATGGATTAAAACCCAACTCAACCTCATCCAAACCCAATCCTACTCCCAGAGCCTAACAGACCCAAACTATAAAAATCAATCCTTAGAGCACCAGGGTGGTGGTTATCTGAAAAGCTGATGCTGACCCAGAGGAATGAGGCAAAGAGGGAAGGGGAAAGGACACTGGGAAAGGATGCCCTGTGGGAAGTTAGAGAGGGCTGTGTAGCTTTCACCAAACCTGGAGGAAGAGCACAGAATTCAGTTGGGGTGAATCCTGTCCATCAAAAAGTCACTTGGGGGCAGAGACCTGGGTTGGTGAATTGTGAATTGCTCAGTGTAGAAGGAAGCTGAGGTGCTTTGAGATCCAGATCCCAAGGAAAACACAATCAAAGGGGAGAAAGTCAGAAGTGAGCAAGAAGGAAAATGAAGGGAGGGATAAGAAAGACTGAAAGTACCAAAGAGTCCAGGAAAAAGAAATCTCAAAGACCTTGAACATAAACAGATAAATCATTATTAATTATCATCATAAATTAATTCCAATACTACATAAACTATTTGGGAAAATAAGTAAAGAAGGAATCCTGCCAAATTCCTTTTACGACACCAATATGGTGCTGTGATACCTGAACCAGGAACAGTCAAAACAGAGAAAGAAAACTATAGACTAATTTCCCTAATGAATATTGAGGCAAAAATGTTAAATAAAATACTAGCAAGGAAATTACAGTAATATATCACCAGGATCATACACTATGACCAGGTGGGATTTATACCAGGAATGCAGGTCTGGTTTGATATTGGAAAAACTATCAGCATAAGTGACAATATCAATAATAAAACCAACAGAAATTATATGATTATCTCAAGAGATGCAGAAAAAGCTTTTGACAAAATACAGAACGTATTCTTAGTAAAAACACTAGAGACCATAGGAATAAATAGAGCTTTCCTTAAAATGATAAAATAGTATCTCTCTAAAACCATCAGCAAACATCTGTAATGGGGATAAGGTAGAAGCCATTCCAATAAGATCGGGGTGAAACAAGGATGCCCATTATCACCACTATTATTCAAAACTGCTCTAAAAATGTTAGCTCTAGCAATAAGAGAGGAAAAAGAAGACGAAGGAAATAGAATACATTACCAACAAAATCCAGCAGTAAGAGATAGAAAGAGAAATTCTATTTAAATTAGACAATATAAAATACTTGGGATTCTACCTGCCAAGACAAACCCAAGAACTAAATTGAAACAATTACAAAACAATTTTCACATGAAAAAAAGTCAGATCTAAATAATTGGAAAAATATCAATTGCTCATAGGTGGGCCAAATTAATATAATAAAGATGACAATTCTACCTAAATTAATTTATTTATTCAATTACCAATTAAACTACCAAAATTATTTTAAGGAACTAGAAAGATCATAACAAAATTCACCTGGAAGAATAAAAGTTTAAGAATCTAAAATGAATTAGTTTTAAAAAAATGTGAAGGAAGGTAGCCTAGCTGTACAAAATCTCAAACTGCATTATAAAGTTGTAATCATCAAAATGATTTGGTACTGGCTAAGAAACAGAGTGGTGAATCAACTGAATAAATTAGGAACACAACACATAGTAGTAAATACCCATAATAATCTGGTGTTTAATAAACTCAAAGACCTAAGCTTTTTGGACAGGAACTCACTATTTGACAAAAACTGCTGGGAAAACTGAAAAACAGCATAGCAGATAAACAGTATAGGCCAATATCTTATATCATATAGGAAGATAAGGTCAAAATGGGTAAATGATTTACACATAAAGGGTGATACCATAAGCAAATTAGGAGAGTAAGGAATAGTTTACCTGTCAGATCTATGGAGAAGGGAAGAATTTATGACTAAAGAAGAAATAGAGAATGCTACTAAATGAAAAACGGATAATTCTCAATATGTGAAATTAAAAAGGTTTTGCAGAAACAAAACCAATACAACCAAGATAAAAAGGAAAGCAGAAAGCTGGGAAATATTTTATAATCAGATGTCCGATAAAGATCTCATTTCTCAAATATATACAGAACCGAGTCAAATTTATAAGAATATCAGTCATTCCTTAATTGATGGTGAGATAAAGGATTATTTCTCCCTTGTATTAATAGTCAATTATTGAATTAGGACAAGTAAGTTTTCAGAAAACTGTAGGTCCTCAGTCTATGAAGGACATTGCTGATAATGAGATTGGATTAACTTTCTTTTTTATTATTTTTTATTTTTTGGTGAGGCAAGTCACTTAATCCCAATTGCCTTGCCAAAAAAAAAAAATTATGTGTTCATGTCCTTTGATTGGAGAGTGTGCAAAGATACTGGAGTGGTTTGCCATTTCCTCCTCCAGCTATTTTTTAAAGATGAAGAACTGAGGCAAACAGGGTTAAGTGACTTGCCCAGGGTCACACAGCTAGTAAGTGTCAAATGTCTGGTCTGAAGTAGACTTCAGTAAACCCCAAGTATCTTGCTAGGTTTCAGCCATCAAAATTTCCATTCCTTTGGGCAGAGCACCCGTACATAAGGGGCATGGTACCCCATGTGGACAGGAGAGGAATGAAGGAAGAGAAGGGAAAGGAGAAAGGAAAGAGCTGAGTTGCCCAAGTGGAACACTGGCCAGTTCGGTCCCCAGTGGGCAGCTTGAAATACTCACAGGTTGTCTTTTGTTCTTGAAGAGGATGTTGATTCAAGACAATTCCAAGGAATTTAGGATGAAAAATTCTGTTCACGTCCTGAGAAAGAAGTGACAGAGTGTGAATACAGATTGAAGCATGCTATTTGTAATTTTATTTTATGTTAATTTTCTTTGTATCTGTGTCTTCTTTCACAATATGACTGACACAGAAATGTTTTGCATGATTGGACATATGTAACCTGTATCTCATTGCTTAACATCTCAGGGAAGGGGGAAGTGAGGAAGAGAAGGAGAAAATCTGCAACTCAAATATTTTTTAAATAAAGGTTAAAAATTGTCTTTATACTTAATTGGAGAAAAGTAAAATAGTATTTTTTAAAAAGTGCTCTAAATAATTATTGATCAGAGACACTCAAATAAAAAAAACCTGAGGTAGCACCTCACACTCATCAGATTGGGTAATATGATAGGAAAAGAAAATGACAAATGTTGGAAGGGATGTAGAAAAATAGGGACACTAATGCACTTTTGATGGAGTTGTGCACTAATCTAATCATTCTGGAGAACATGTTGGAACTGTGCCCAATAGCTATTAAAGTGTGCATATCCTTTGACTCAGCAATACCACTATTAGATCTGTACACCAAAGAGATCAAAGAAAAAAGAAAATGACCTATATATATACTATATCAGCCTGAAAGTTGGTTAAAGAGGCAACAAGCTAGGTGATAAGTAAATTCATATTGTTTATTCCCTTAAATTACTGACATGTACATGGAGTCAGCTTTAACTCTGACTGAATCAAGCAATTTTAGGAAGACATTTAAACCCTGACTCAGGATGTCTGTGTTACTCAGATTTATGGTCTATGGCCATATATGTTTAACTATAGCACGAAAAAGGAATTTTCTTAATTGAACAGTAATATAAATACAATAAGTATACAGTAATATAAATACAATAAGATAGGAGAATGTTGAAGTGTCAATTGAAATTATAGATCCAGGATATCTGTGTTTCTTTTACCATTAACATGACATAGCATAGCATGTCCATAAAACACTAAGATAAGAAAAGGCCCATTATTCAAGGCAGTGTCTGGCTCGTGGCGCCTTAGTGGTCATAAACAGAAGAATGCTCTTGGTCAGCCTCATCTAATCCTATGATTGCTAACACAGGAAGGGGCATTTTTAGTTTACTCAGAGAGAAGAGCAATGTTTGTCCAGAGTATGCAAAGCATTATGGTAGATTAAGCTCAGAATGGGCTGAAATGTCTCTTCTGATTGGCCAATCCAGGTTTTAGGTCTTTCTCAGGTCTTGGGATTCAAAATGGCTTGGAGAGGGGTCTACAACACAAAAATACTTATAGCAGTTCTTTTTGTGGTGGCAAAGAATTGGAAATTGAGGGAATGACCATCAACTGGGGAAGGGCTGAAGAAGTTATTTTACATGATTGTGAGGTAATAGTATTGTGCTACAAGAAATAACAAGCAGGATGCTTTCAGGAAAACCTTGGAAGCCTAAAGTGAACTGCTACAAAGTGAGGAGAACCAGGAGAACTTTGTACACAGTAGCAGCAATACCATACAATCATCAACTGTGAATGACAGCTATTCTGAACAATGATTCAAATCAGTTCCAAAGGACTTAAGATGAAAAATGCTATCCACTTCCAAAGAAAGAACTCATGCAGTCTGAATGCAGAGAGAAGTATACCTGTTTTTAATTTTTTTTATTGTTTTTGTTTTTTTGGTCTGCATCTTCTTTTGTAACATAACTAATATGGAAATATTTTGCATGGTTGCACATGCACATTCCATATCAAATTACTTGCTTTCTCTAGGAAAGGGGAGGGAAAGAATTTGGAACTGTAAATATTCCTGGCCCTCTGGCTACGGTGCCACCTACTTCTCTCTATGGAGTATCTGCAGCAGGTAAGGTCAATGATCCAGTTTAACTAAAACATCCTGCTTTCTGAAATGAAAGATTTTTAATAACTTCTAGCCACTTAATATTTCTCTTCTCCCTTTTATATTTCACTTCTAACTCTCCAGCTATATGAGTTACAGTTAATGGTGACAACTTTTGATAAATGAAGAAGCATTTATGAAATGCCTACCATTCACCAGGCACTGCTCTTCGCTTTGTGGATACAAAGAATGGCACAAAGACAGCTCCTGCACTCCAGGAATTCACAGTCTACTGGAGAAGAGAATATGAGGTAATAGGATAAACAAGGATGCATTTGCCAGAGAAATGTGAGAATTTCAGAGGGAAGGTAACAGAAGTGGGAGATTAGGGGGGACTGGAAAGGTCTTTTGGAGTTAGATATTGATCTGCGACTGGAAGGAAGCCAGGAGGCAAAGGTGAGGAGGGAGACTATTCCAGAGATGCAGGACAGGCAGTAAAACAGCTGGAAATGGGGATGTGAAGTAAACTGAGCAAGAAATAAGGCAGTGTCCCTGAATTGCTGAGTATGTAGAGAGGAGTAAAATTTAAGAAGTCTGCCAGGGTAGGAAGACGCCACATTGTGAGACGCTTTGCCTTGATTCAAGAATTGGCACTTAGCAATCAGAAGACTTTTAAAAAATATTTTTATTTATTTCATTAAATATTTCCCAAGTAAAATTTTTAACAATTATTTTTTAAAACGTTGAGCTCCAAAATTTTTTCCTCCCTTCCACCCCTCCCCCTTTGTTGATCAGGCAAGCTATTTGATTTTGATTATCACATGTCACGTCATACAAAATTCCATATTACCCAAGTTGGAAAATAAAATAAATCAATAAAAATCAAGATAGGTTAAAAAAAAGTATCCTTCAATCTGCATTCAGAGTTCACGAGTTCTGTCTCTGGATGTGGATAGCCTTTTTTATCATGGGGCCTTTGGAACTGTCTTAGATCACTGTCTGGATCAGAGTAACTAAGTCTTTCACAGTTGATCATCATACAATGTTGCTGCTACTGTGTAAAATGTTCTCTTGGTTCTGCTCATTTCACTTTGCAGGAATTCATATGTCTTCCAAGTTTTTTCAGAAACTACCCTGCTTGTCCTTTATTACAGCACAAACATATTCCATCCCAATCTCCAATTCTTTGCCACCACAAAAAGCTTCCATGTATATTTTTGTACAAACAGGTTCCAGCCTCTTTTCTTTGATCTCTCTGGGATACAAACTTAGTAAAAGTATTGGCAGATCAAAGGTTATGCAAAGATCTATAGGTCAATTTTTGTGAAGCTGCCACATACAGCAGAGAAAAAGGTATACAGGCAGTTCTCACTTTACATAGGTGGACTGTTCCTCAGACCTCTATATGAGGCAATTTTTACATAATGTGAATTTACTATGTATGTAGAAAAGGGCAGGAGGGAGGCAGGAAGGGGAGGGATACCATGGTGGGGGAGGGGCCATCACCTGGTTCAAGGACATATGGGGCTGGGCACAGAGAAGGAAGAGCAGGAGCACGACAGTATGCCTGTTGGGGTCAGCCACATGATGGCCTGGCTGCAACTGAAAAGAACATGCCAGCAGGCAGACACACAGGGGCTGGAAATGGAAACATTCAGGAGAGGACAGGCGACACCCGGGAACCAGGTACAGACACATTCCCAAAATACTGAACTGCAGGGATCAAACTCTCAGGTGGCTGGGTAGACTGAAACCAAGGTCTCCTCTCTCAGCACTGGAAGTCTCAAGCCAAACCCTGATCCAGCAGTGACGGTGACTCTCTCTGTGCAGGTCTGTTTTCTGCTTTCACTTGGAGGATTTTTTAAAAGGGTTTTTTTTTTTTTTTGCTGAGGTGGGGTGGTAGGAGGCCATAGAGCACACAAGCTGAGGGGCAGGAGCATAAAGAGATCCCAGTACTGTATAGTAAAATTTACATAAGGATTTTTTTGGAATGCAGATTTCTTTCAGAATTCCTTACATAAAGTTCAATTTGCATAACATGAATTTACAGAAAGCAAGATCTCTCTGTACTCCTTTCTATTCTCATTCAGTTTTCTCCAGAGACCTTTCATATCTAAGTTTTCTAAGATTATATTATTCTTCTTGATTTCTTTCTTATGTTATGGTTAGATTTATCTAGCTCTGAGAGGGAAAAGTTGAGGTCCCCCACTACTATTTATTCCTGTACTTCATTTAACTTTTCCTTTAAGGATTTGAATGCTATGTCATTTCCCAAATATATGTTTACTATTGATATTACTTTTAATTTCTAATCTAATAATCTAATCTAATTAGATATTACTTGAGTCTATGGTTCCTTTGAACAAGGTGAGGTTTCCCTGCTTACCCCTTTTAATTAGGGCTATTTTTGCTTTTGCTTTGTCTGAGATCATGATTGCTACCCCTGTTTACTTCACCTGAGGTTTCTGCTCCAGCCCCCTATTTTAACTCTGTGGTTCTCTTTGTTTCAAGTGTGTTTCTTGTTAAAAACAACAACATATTGTTGGATTCTGGTTTCTAATCCATTTTGCTACCCACTTCCATTTTATGAGTGAGTTCATCCTATTCACACAGTTATGATTACTAACTATGCATTTCCCTCCATCCTAGTTTCTTCTATTTCTCTGTCTCTCTCTCTCTTTTTATCCTGTCCCTCCTCTAATGAATGTTTTGCATATGACCACTGCTTTCTTTTATGTGCTCACCTGTTTATCACCACTTTTTCTTTCTCTTATCCCCATAGGGTAAGATAGATTTTTAAGACGAATTGAGATGTGTATATGTGTGTGTATACACACACAACACACACACACACAATTTTCCCTCTATGAACCAATTTACATGTTAGTGAAGTTTGAGTGTTGGCCACCTCCCCCCACCCATTTTCTGCTCCACTGTAAAAGCTCTTCTTTGCACTTTGCACTATTTTATGTGAGATAATTTTTCCCCTTCTCTCTCCCTTCTACCTTCTTCCAAGGCATCCATATATCTCGCCTATCCATTTATTTTATATCATCCCTAACTATTTAGCAACTCCCAAACCCTATTTCTAGGTAGAATCCCTTCTACCTACTCAAATAATGGTAAAATTCTTAGTATATATGTGTATCATTTTTCCTTATAGAAAAGTACACATTTTAACCTTACTGAGTCTCTTACAATTTCTCTTTCATATTTCCCTTTTAATGATTCTTTTAAGTCTTGTATCTGAAAGTTACATTTTCTATTTAGCTCAAGTCTTTTCATCAGTAATGCTTCAAAGGCTCCTATTTTATTAAATATTCATTTTTCCCTTGATGCATTTCCCTAGATAGCAAGCCTATAGTAATTGGAATGTTCTCAGAGCTTGTGTCTCCACCCATAAGTATCTTGTCTGTTGAGTGTTCTGAGATTAGACGTGCTTCCATAGAGAGTAAGCCTGTAGTAATTGGAATGTTCCCAGAGAGAGAGTGTCTTCTACCACAAATATCTTTTCCTCTGACTGTTTGGAGGTTAGGTGTGTTTCCACAGAGAGTAAGCCTGTAGTAACTGGAATGTTCTCAGAGCATGTGTCTTCAGCCCCAAAAGTCTTGTCTGCTGAGTGTTCTGAGGCTAGATGTGCTTCCACAGGGAGTAAGCCTGTAGTAACTGGAATGTTCCTAGAGAGAGTGTCTCCTGCCACAAATATCTTTTCTTCTGTGTACTATATAGTTGTGTTGACTTTTTTTCCCCTTCCTAAAATAAAAAATAACATTTGTCATATGGCATGGCTCTCAGGGAGGAGAGGGGGAGGGAGAGATACATGAGATACTATAAGAAACAAAAAACATCAATAAAATTTTTTTAAATGAGGTCAAGAATCTAAAGGGCATTAATGGAGAGGTGGGAAGGAGAAAAGAAAGGGGTTTTGGCCATGCAGAGTGATTCCTTCCACCTCTGCAGCCTCTGGACCAGGTCTTGGCTTGAGACCTCCAGTGCTAAGAGAAGAGACTTTTGGCTACTCTGTCCATTTATCTACATCTGGCACCCGCGTGTCTGTCTTTGGTCCATCTGGGCTTATGTACAATGAGGAAACCCAGTCTGTGTGTTGCCTCTCTTTCCTTGTCTATGGCCATGTTTGGCCTCCACACGTCTGTCCTCTGCGTGTTCTTCCTCTCGGTTCTGGCCAGGCCATCATGTGGCTGACCCTGACACCCACCTGATCCTCCTCCTGATCTCATTTTTCTGTCCCTGGCCCCCATGTGTCCTTGAACCATCTCCTGAGTTCCCTTCTTCACAGGTACATGGACTCCTTCCTGCCTCCCTCCCTCCCGTGGTCCATGGGCAAATTCACATTACTTCAAAATAGTTCTACTTAGAAGTTTGCCCAACAGTCCACTTATGCAAAGCAAACACTGTCTGTAGTTGATTAAAAAAAAACAGGGTATAAGTGGAAAGCAGTTTGGCAGGAATTTGATAGGCAATAACATCTCACACCATGTATCAAATTAAATGATAAATGAATGCAAAAATTAGATATCACAAACAAAATAAAGTGTTAACTGATGAAAATTATACATGTAATAGATATAATTGTAATCATTAATAATTACTCTTAGACAATCATTAATAATTACTCTTAGACCTACAACTCAATAATTTATTTATTGAATAGCTATAGATTAAGCTCCTCCTATGTGCTGGGAACATAAAAGACAGGTGGCCTAATTAAGCAATCAACAAGCATTTTTTTTGATGAGACAATAGGGATTAAGTGACTTACCCAGGGTCACACAGTTAGAAAGTGTCAAGTGTCTGAGGCCAGATATGAACTCAGATCCATCTGACTCCAAAGCCAGAGCTCTATTCACTGTACCACTTAGCTGCCCTCAACATGCATTTCTTAAGTACCTCCGGCACAACAGGCACTGTGCTAGGTTCTGGAGATGCAAACACTACTAAAGACACAGTCCCTAACCACTAGAAGCTTGCGATCTAATGAGACAGAAAATACATAAAAGTATATACAGAATAAACACAAATAAAGGCAAACCACAAAGCAGTCTGGGAGCCAGGCCACTAGCAGTTAGAATAAAGATCTCATGGAATAGGTGATGCTTAAACTGTGTCTTGAAGGAAGAGAGGGATTTTCTGAGATCTAAGGATAGAGAGCCAGCTTCAGAGTCAGGAAGGCTCAGAGTTCAAGCCCTGTCTCAGATCCATGCTAGCAGCATGACCACAATCAAGTGACCTAAGCTTTTAGTGCCCCAGACAATTCTGTAAAATCATAGCCAC